GGCTTTTTACATCAAATACTGTTTCATTATGTCAGGGAAATGCTCAAAAATAATGCCCTTAAAAGTTTTTAATATGTTTAAAATTTAATTCCTGTTTTTTATCGGAATAATTGTATTGGAAATAACTATTCTCCCCAACCTCTGATCAAGTAATCAAAGTTTTGGAAAGCTAAAGATTAAGGTTATTTTTTTATCTGAAAGATTTTTTTTCTTTTTTTTTTGCATTGCTTTGGTAATGTTTAATTTTATAGTAATTTGAAGTTTTTAATATTTTCATAATAAAATTCACGGTACCAATTTTACTGCACCAGTAAACTTCAACTTATTTTGAGATTTTTGTTTGTTTCACAATTCAACTTTTAGTCAGTTTCAATCACTTTGTGATAAAACCTTTCAATCTGATAAATGTGCTTCGGGGCAGTTGTAACTCATTTGTAGAAACTATTTGTTTTGAACTGTAAATAGACCCAAATAATAGGATAATCCCTTACTAAGAACATGATTTACATTCATTCTTCACAATTAAGAGGCATCCAATTCTACAATTTCATTGGTCGAGAGTACTTTGCTATATTCTAATGTGTAAATTAAAACAATTATTTTAATTTCAATCGATATTAAGCTGTTGCTTTTTTCCGCTTCGAGCAAATTTTGACCGCATTTTAAAAATTAATTTCCTGCATGATACATATATTATATGCACATTTTCATTGCGATCTAAAAAAGGACGAAGTTGATATATAAACTGCCGTCAATTATTGTGTGTGTGTGTGTGTGTGTGTGTGTGTGTGTGTGTGTGTGTGTGTGTGTGTGTGTGAGTTGGGCCGTTTAAAAAAAAATGAATTGATTCTAAAAAAGATTGGAAAGGAAATAAAATACTCTGTTTCAGAAAAAAGAGGAAAAGAAACTAATTGATTTACATTCAAATTTATGGACGAAAAAAAAATACGACACTAAGATTAAAAAAGTAATGTTCATGTATGTGCACGAGAAAAAAAAACAATTCCCCCTTCCCATCACAAAAAAAAAAACACACACTCTCAGAAAAAGAAGAATAGTCGGTGCATTCTGCTACCAAGGGTTTCACAAGTATAGTAGTTAGCAGAAAAGTTCTAGTTTCCAAAATACACCAAACTATACATTTTACCTACTAGTATTTCGTGAAGTAAAATGCAAATTTCATAAGGCTTGGTCCAAATAGCTTTTTACTGTCCAATATCTTGCAAGTACGAAAAAGACCGTACGAAAGTATATTTTGTCTATGTTTTGTAATTGCACAACTATTGAAAGTTGATCATGCATTCGTTCTTATATAAAATGTTACACAAGATACAAGTTAAAAGATACTAAGTGAAAAAAATGACAACCGCAATGGGTTAATCATTTTGATGTCCGAAAAAGATAACAGCCAACACATACATTGTAACTTTTAAAGCTAGTTAAATTAATTTTTATGTTTAAAGAACATGCGATATCATGAAAAATTGTTTATCAAAACATAACAAAAACGCAATTAAAGAACGTTTAAGTGTTCAATATTAATCAAAATACAAAGGTTATTCCTGTACTAGTTTTTCGAATTATTTGATTAAGGCGTTGAAACCTTTGGGGACCCCACAGTTTAAATGTCTATAATAAATACGACGTGATAAGTGGACGTTACAGACAAACGTTCACCTAATTTAACCCAGTGAATGGGAAACTTGAGTGCGCCAAAAAATGGTCTCGTCCACACTGTTATGAAAATGATACTAAGTATCTAATACATCTATTACTTTTCTGGACGTAAAGCTAAAATGTTTGAAATGTTGTTAAGTTGCTGTCTGACATTCGTATATCCCACAGTAGTTGTTTGCATAATAATAATAAAAACATATTGAGTGCCGATATTTCTGAAAAATAATTTTCAAGAAGCTGACAGTCTGGATTTTTGACTTGTTACTTTGTCCGACAATAATTACGATATAAGTACATAAATGGAACAGCATCAAAAGTCTCTTAATAATTACACAGAACACGATTCATAGACACTAAATCGATATCAAAGAGCATTTAAAAATGAGTTACGAAAAAAGATGTGTACGGGGATAGGTTATTACGAAAGCCTATTAGGGTCACAAAAAAAAATATATTTATCTCGTAATTACGAGAAAACTATCGCGTAATTACGAGAAAACTATCGCGTAATTACGAGATAATTATCTCGTAATTACGAGAAACCTATCACGTAATTACGAGATAAGATTTTTATCTTTTATCTCGTAATTACGAAAAATAATCGCGTAATTACGAGAAAACTATCAAGTAATTACGAGATAAGAAGTTTTTCATAACCCGTTCTCTTTGCGCTGTAGTATTTATACATTTAACAAAGCAAAAAGCTTCTTTTGTTACTGCAAAGGCTCCCACAACATGTTATTAAATTTCTAAAATATTGTTATATTTCTTCTTATTTCTTACGAAATTCGTATTTTGTTGACTATTTTCGCGATAAAGATAAATGAAATTTACCAAAAACAAAAACAACATTCGGTTGAGGGGAGGGGAGGGGGGCATCTTATTATTATTACTAACAAGAAAGAGAGTAAAATAGTTATTATATCTCTTCTTATTGTACACATAAGAGTTCGAATCCTTGCCCCCGCCTAAATGCTTGTAAGACTCGCAACCTTTCTAAAAGCACTTGGTCATGAGGGGATCTACTTTCAACTTTTTCTTCTGTTTTTCATGGTGCTCTTCGATAGGACTTAGTATAAACAGGAACCAATGGCAGTTGTATTTTACTTCCTCCGAAATTCTTGTGCCAATTTTAAACAAACTTTCTATTTAGCAATAGTAATAGTTTTATCCAGACACCGTTGACAAGCTCATTTGAGCCTCTTGTATACTATGTGTTTATGTCTATGAGCACATATTAAAAATCTTGTAGATTTGGACACGCAAACACATGATGTAGTCAATCGGCTATAGTATATAGTCTTTTTAGAGGTGTTTTACGGATGACTTAATTCCTCGCTTCCTTTTTACGCAATTAATTTATAAAATCATCTTTTATGTTTTAATAAGTGGCCAATAACATGAATTAACTAACTTAAAAGATAATAAAAAAAAGAGCTTAAATTTCATTCAAATCCATTAATAAATACATCTTTCACTTTCTATAACAACCTTCTTACGACTATATATATATATGTTATTTTATCTCGTAATTACGAGATAGTTTTCTCGTAATTACGCGATAGTTATCTCGTAATTACGCGATAATTATCTCGTAATTACGAGATAAAAAAATCTTAACTCGTAATTACGCGATAGTTTTCTCGTAATGACGCGATGATTATGTCGTTATTACGAGATAAAAAATGATTATCTCGTAATTAGGCGATAGTTTTCTCGTTATAACGCGATAATTATCTCGTAATTACGCGATAGTTTTCTCGTAATTACGAGAAATTTATCTCGTAATTACGAGATAAATATTTTTTTTGTGACCCTAATAGGCTTTCGTATGTTATAATGCAAGTGCAAATAATTAAATGCAATATTAAGGGAAAATATCAAGCTTTACGAAGTAGAGCGAAAATGTAACCAATCTTAAAGTCCCAGAAACTTTAATAAGGACAATTTTAAAATCAAGATATTCATACTTTTTTTTTGATCAGTTCAATTGAGGTCTTCAGCTGGCATGTCAGTAACTGCTAGGGGTCCTTTGTTAATTTATGTTGATCATTGTCATTTTGCTTAGTTTCTTCTGTTTCCTTTTCTTACATCGGACTCGAACGTCTTTAAACTGAGTTTTACTGTGCGTATTGCTGTTTTTTTTTTTGTTTATTTCACATTGGCTAGAGGTATAGGGGGGGGGGGATCTCACAGAACATGTTTCACCCCGCCGCATTTTTGCGCCTGTCCCAAGTCAGGCCTCTATTAGTCTTGTATGTTGTTTTTTTAAAATTTTGGTTTATTTGTATGTATCGGAGTTTAGTGTGGCATCCATTTTGCTAAACTAGTATACATTATTATTTATGGGCCAGCTAAAGCCCGATTCCGGGTGCGGGATTTTCTTGCCTTTGGAGGCCTTGGGCTGTTTTCTGCCCTTTGGACAGGTTGTCGTCTCCGACACATTCTCCGTTTTTAGTTTGGCATATGCGCGCTTGTCCAATACCGAAGGATGGGGACCTCTAATATCTATTTTTGAATCCTTGTATTACTTGGGTTGCTGCCTCATGGATGTTTATCTCACATTTCTTGTTATCTATTTTCATTATTTAACTGTTTAATAATGAGTTGTTGATAATTGGAATCTTGTACTAGTAATTGATTTACGAAATTACTTGAATTTCGTTAGAAAGGTTGAGAAAAGAAGACTATCGTAGCTATTGTGTTCTTAGAATAACAGATCAAAAGAACAATGCAATATGGAGAAAACCCAAGAACAACTATAGATATAAGTGCATAAACAAAACACCTTGGGTATGAATGATAGAAATGTAAGATATACGTCAGTGAAACAGAAATCAAACATCACAGTTGAACCGAAACACATAAAAGACAGTTAAGCCAATACGATCAATCATAAAATCAATTATTCTGATTAATGAAGAATGTTTTGCATGCAGCCATCATATTATTGCCCCAAATTGAAAATCAGTAATATGTCAAGGAACAATCTTTGGAACTGAACTTTAACAATCTGCGAGACCCTCATTTTGTATCTTTAAACTCGTCATTTGACCATAAAATTTGTACTATAAGATTTATCTTAACTTGAATATAAAACCAGCCTGACTAGGTACTTTTCCACATATTCTATGTTGTTCAGTCAAATTGGCGGGTTTTTTTAAACCGTTCAGTAACTGTATTATGCAATCATTCGCTGGTCACGCTTGAGATAAAGAACTCGTTGATATTACTAAGTTCACAAAGTCTGCACTACAATACAGAGGTAGTTCAAGATATAAAATCATTGACATACTATTAGCTTATCTTCTGTTCACTGATCACTCAAGGGATGTGGCAGTTCCATTCTAACGCTATGGTGGTCCAGTTAGTTGTTTTGATTCTTGCATTCTGCTGTTTTATTGGTATGTCAGTGTTTGTCAATAATTTGTCTATGTAATTTTTATTTACATATATGCGAATTGTACTAATGACCTAAATATATGTTTTTTTCCTCCTGCTTTTTCTTTGTTAAATAAAGGTCTATAAAACAAAACAATTCTTCTTTGGGAAATGACTGTCAACATAGACGATAAATAAAAAAATCTTTGAATATATTAAGAGAAAAATAAAAATTACGTTATAGAAAAGTTCCATGTATACTCTATATTTTGTCCTTTATATTTAAGAGTGAGAATTCGAAGTTGTCCAACTAACGATTTTTAAATATAAATTTGAAAGTATCAAAATGCATGGTACCATTAACTTTTTATACAATGACTGTATAGTATTTTACTAATCTGATCCTTATTTGTTTTGATTTTAGAAGTACAGAGTTCTTCGCCTCCATTGTTAGATGAAGAGATAAGGTCGGTATTATCCTTATTATCACTTTTATACAATGGAAGCTTGATAATTCATAGCGAATTTTTTAATTGCGAATTGGATATTAAAATACTTCTCTGTACAAGTAATTTTCTTTTTTCTTTTTTTCTGTGTATTAAAACTATCATTATTGGCCTTTTATTCGATTCCAATGGTCTCTGTTAGAGCAATATAAAAAGACACAAAACATGACAAGTCTATTGTTTTTTGTAGCCGTTTGTCACCTGACCTGCAGGTTCAGTTTGTACTACCGTCGCATTCACTTCAACCACATCACACACGTGTAGGATTCAAACATCGCTATGTGGACCATTACGGAAATATCCATGCAAGTCGACCTGCTGGTGCCAGTATAACGGTAGATGCAACAACAACAGTTAGTGATTTAGCCCTGTCTAAGGTAACACATTTTATATTTTACCAGCTGAGATATCGGCGAGATATTCAATGAAAATACATGACTTATGACAAATAAGTAGATTACTAAAGTTTACGGTTTTGTAACTGCGATTTTTTAATTATAAATTTTACAACCTTCTTGTAGTATTCCACTGTTATAATTTCTTTGTTGGGTCTGCATTTCCATTTAATGAAAGAGCATAATATACTAACAAATTAAATATATGGATGAATTAACACTGAAATTTGATACTACTTTCATTCAAAAAAAATTTCAGTCCTGGGTTCGATTTTATCGGTAGTTAAGTGCATGCATAAATTCTCAATTTCAATGATGGGATACTTTTTCAGGCATGTACAATTATTGCACTGATGACCAGACATATGTCATCATCAACATTTAGTCTTGTTTCCAGAGCACATGGTGTCGGTATTTTTGCGAAGTCAGAGGGAATGGGAGTTTATCCTGAAAACTACAACCTGAGAGATACTGCACAATGTCGTGGTAGGTTAACGAATTCAGTTTAGCTTTTGTTTTATTTTTATTTTTTGCTCTGAAATGTTCTTTATGCATGATAATGAATGAATCTGCTAAGAAACAAAAGGATATTTAATGCATGCATTTCAAGTGGAATTTGCGAAGTTGTAAAACATATGTTTCTTCTACAATTAATCTTCATTTTCTTCAAAGCCATTCTAAACGTTGTCTTATATAATACGGACATCACTTTTTTCATCTTTTACAGGTAAATGCAGCGGTTCATGTGCACATACTTGTACTTTTGATGGAAGAAAATATGACTCCATTGCTGGTCTGACAAATACAAGATCTGTTGTATTGGATGATAATATTGTTTGTAATGCCCAAGATCCTTATGGACACCAAGAAAATGTTCTAGTTCATGAATTTTCCCATCAAGTCCATAAATACATGTCAACAACAGACAGGAACAGGGTACATATGATGAATACTTTTAACACATGTCTACTTGCGTATTTACGGTAATATAAACTCGTGCTAGTAAATCGAGATGATTCTATGAGGAACAAAAATGTTAACCCCTTCCAAGAGCAAATTAGTTTAGCGCATGAGCATATGAGTTTGTCTTTTAGTATTTTTATTGTTCCATCTTCATTGTATGTGATTTTTAAGTTTAAGAAAGTTCCTTTCAGGCTGCCCTTGACATAATTCAATATGGTTTATCGTGTGGATAGTGTCTAATGTATATACATTACAAAGTGTTTCCCTTTTAGAGAAGGTTTTAGGTAAAAACTAAGAGTTGCAGATACAAATGTAAGAGGCGGAACACTTAAAACTCTGCGATGTTTTACTCCTTGGTAACATGATAATGAAATTGTACTTATTTCTTATGCGATAAATAAGCGGTTTATGTCAGTGATTGTACATATAAATTAATAATGCAATCATATTTTTAGCAAAAATGGGATAGAAATTTAAAATGCATAAATTTAAAATAAAAACAAACAAACCATTAAATCTAAAACCATTAAAACCGCCATAGAAAGAAGATCTCTTGTATGCCGTTTTGTTGTTAATGTTATAATTTATTTATTTTAGTCATAACATGTAGTCGTTTTAAAATTTATGAACTTCTATTGCTCCCTTTTTACAAATCATATGCCATAAAACCTTGAATAATGAAAAGTACACCAAAAGAAGTGCATTGAAGTGATTGAAAACAATCATGATGAAGAACAGCAATAAAAGCGCTGTTCCTTTGCTTTTTCGTGTCGTTTGATGTGCATGTACTGACTTTGTGTCAAGATATGGATAACCATATCCTTTATTTTCTATTATGATAATAGTCAAAACCGAAACTTTACATTGCAGTTAGAATATATCTTTAATTACATTAAACAACGTCATGTGTGGAAAGATGGATATGGTACAGCTAATTCAGCTGAGTACTGGGCCGAGGCATCATCGTCCTTCTTCCATACAGTAATACGAAGCGGCTCTCATAGTCCAGCTGTAGGAATGGATGAGTAAGTATAATGTGTTAAGTACATGTATTAAATTCACTTCAATCCTAATAAGTCCAAGTATTAACAGAAAAAATGGAAGTGAGAATAATCGGAATTACACGAGCTCAGGAGACCAGATGCGTAAAAGACTATTTAGCTCATGTAGAAACTTGCAAGTGTTTGTTTCAGTAGCGATATTTTAACACTTAGGTTTTCTACCCCAGGTGAACATTGTCTTAGCCATATTTGGCTAAAAAAAAATTTCTGAATTTTTGGTTAATAATGCTTTTCAACTTTGATTTTAAATTGGCTTTCCAACTTTGTATTTAAATTGACTTTCCAACTGTTTTGATTTTGTCACATTTTATGAATCTTTTGAAAACGAAGCTCGAGTCTGTCGTGCTAAATTATAAGCCTGGTATCTTTGATGAGTTTTCACTGGGTCGATGCCACTGCTGGTGGACGTTTCGTCCCCGAGGCTATCACCAGCCCAGTAGTCAGCACTTGTGCTGACATGAAATATCATTGATATGTTCATTTTCTGTACTTTTCCTGTTCCTACATGTTTTTTATGTCTCCAGCTTTAAATTGTCTTAGTCGTCTTTTGCACAACTTTTTGGAATTTTCGGTTATTAATGCTCTTCAACTTTGTATTTGATTTGGCTTTCCAACTAATTCGAGCGACAATGATGAGACTTATGTACACGAAAGGACCTTCTGGCGTACTTAATTATATGTTTGGTATATTTGATGAGCTTTTATCATATAAGTTACTGAAATAGGTTTTGCGTTTAGATTATACCTTTGTTAGTAAAAGCCCAACTATGAAATCATCTTCTGTGATTGTGTGTGTCGACTGAGATACGTAAACCTTATAGTTTGTGGCAAGTAAATTAGTGTTCATGAAAGGGAAATTGGTAACAGTAAAACTGAAATCTCTACTCTTGTCAATGATTTTATATAAGAGTCGTCCATCAGCGTAAATTTCAAAAAGAAGTTTTAGGCATGAAGCAGACAATCATGTCTATATAGTACCCTTAACTTCAATTACCTGTAATATGTATTAACTTATTGCTAAATAGATTTCTTACTGAAAAAAGGACTATAGAGTCAACGAAAATCAACTATAGATAAACTATACATTAAGATTTTGTTTCTTCTTGTGTTACATAAGGTTTTGTATGAATTATGAGTATAAAATAAGTGGGCTAACAGAGCCGCACAATGTGTTCCTAGTCCAGATGGTTTTTTTTTAATAACCTATGCAAATAACCTATATAAACGTCGTTGAATTACAAACCAATCACAGACATAGGACATAAACATGTTATCTTCAGCAAACCCTTAGCACAGTGGAAAAACTGCAAATAAATTATTCACTGGTGATCATATCAGTATTCAATGTTTTATTTTATTAAAATGTGTACCATTTTATGAGTATTCCTTAATTAGCATAGTTAATTAAATAGTCAATTCTGCTTTTTTATTTGCATGTCCATGAGAAATCAAACTATACAAAGGAACATACCAGACATCGCATACTGATTGCCCTTGCGTTATGGAAATATTTATACTCATTCTACGAGTAGAAAAGTCTCGTTGTCAAAGGACAAACAGAAGATTGTTTTCTTTTGTGATTTTAACGCCTGCGCATATATGTTTTACTCGACCATTCAGGTTTATGTGAAGTTTAATTCCTGCTACTTTCTTCGTCCCCTCTAAATTTAGCCTGGGTCTTCATGATCGAAGATATAAAAATGTAATTTAATGAAATAATATATTGTTTCAGGTGTAGTTTTAATCACGTATGTAGGTCAGAAAGTGAAAACAGACAATGGATAAAGACTCATGATGTATGGCTGTATAACTTATTGGTTAAAGTGTACACTAATAACCGACCATCAACACCTAGTGGTCTAAGAGTGTGCATGTAAACAACTCAATCATAATGAATTATATCAAAGTTTCAAAACGTATTGAGATATAAAATATTAACATATCAAATTTGTGTTTCCTGTTTAGTCTTATTAGTTGAATACATTTTGAAGCTGGCTTATTTCAAACCGATGTTTTGAAACTTTACTTTATATATACTTTAAACTAAAAAAAATATTATTATCAAAGCAAGGTTGCAACTCCGTCAAGAAAATAAAAGACGGGTTTGATTGTTCTATCTATTATGACCTTGCTCTTTTTTTGCAATAAACGGATACTATATCATATGTTTTCATTATCACTGTGTCTGTAGTGTTGCTGTTGTACTATAAGACCCCGATAATACCATCCGCGCAGTAACCAGTTCATCTGAAAAAAATTTAAAACGCATATTGTGTGTATGTAAATCGTATCAAATGATCTTTAGAACATACATTTTTAAAGAATACAACATCACGAATTTGTTGACCATATTTTATTTTGACAAATAGATGTGTTTGGGTGTGCGTGCTAAATTTTTATGAATCTTTTTACCTTTTGAAAGAATACAAATTTCAGATTTTTTTCGAATTCAATGACTAATTATATTGCTAGATATAGACAACAGTATTTTACTAATATTCAAATCTAAAAAATTAATTAAGTCAAATCAAGGTAACAAACAAAAACAAAACATTTTTCAAACAATTATAACTAAAATAGTTACATTGCTTCTGTTAACAAATATTATGTTGCCTCTCAATGTGTATTTTAAATGAGAATACTGGGAGGAAATAAATATGTTCACATTATAGGGACTTCATTAGCAAGTATGTGATCCTTGCACTAAAATTACTCTAACAGAGATTTGAGGAAGAACAACTGTAGTCGACAATATAGTAAAAGTTGTATGGTCCCAATTACGAATTTGTTGACCGATACGATATGTATGTGTCTCAACTTACTAGCAATATGTTTTCGCAGTCTTAGATCTTATAATACCAGAATAGTCGTCTGATCTGTAGTTTTACCGATTGTGTGCTATTTCTTATTGTGACATTTTAACTGAGTGTGGATTCGCATGGCGAGTGATACATGTATAGCAGGAGACGCTTACCCTGTCGACGCATCCGGTCTGGCTCTTTTGGAGCTCAGTTTCAGTCCCTCAGTTTTGTTTGTTACCTTAATGTTTTTTCTTAATCAGTTGATGAGATTTGAACATCGTTAAACTACTGTTCAGTTAACATACCCAAAAACAGTGGTACCATCCCAAAAGTAGAAATCATTATATGAATTCCGTGCGCACAACACATATTTCTGAACTATCATCTATACCTCGTGACCAAAAGTTTTGAAATAAACCTAAAAGACCTACTAAAAACTGTCCAAAAAGTCTAGGGCAATTTAGCTTGAAGGAGTTGCAACCTTATTCCTATCAAAATAACATCGTTTTTACATCGCGATGACCTTGAGGTCATTCCGATGTATTGCTATCGCCTAGATTTCCATTATGTAAATTAGTTTTGGGTTTTTAACCGATCTATAAACATTATAAATATGCGCACATAAACGAGTGCAAAATAACATTCCTTATCGTTTGATATACATACATCTCTTCAATGAATACTGATAAAAATATTTTTGTTTACAACATAAATTAATAATATGAAAATGTTTTGTAGTTAGATATATATATATAAGTAAAAATCATTGATAATATCAATGCACGCGTACCGAAAAATTGTGTTAAAGCATGCGGAAGAATATCTCAAAGACAATACCGACAAGGACCGGTAACTCTGTAATTGTTTTTGCGGGAAAATATGAATGCCTACTCGTATCCAATCTTAGAAAAATCGAATTTTTACAAAAAAAGTGTCCACCATGCACTTGCATTGCACTATTATTAGAATAGTAGAATAGAACGATATACAAATGGATGCAAATCATATATATATGTAACTGTTATTTTAATATAATATATAACAACAAATCAGTGTATACTGATTTGTATCACTACAATATAATAGTTATTACGGTGAAGTTGAATTTCCTGTCATTTATTCATCATCCACGCACGAACTTGTCTCAGAAAAAAATACATCTCTGTACATTAACCTCAGTTTCAGGTAAAGAGATATGTTGTTTTTTTCTGAGACAAGTGCTTTTGACCATCCTCAAGAACTTGTGGTCATCCGATGTTCAGTACTTCAGTACTTTGATTATGAACTGGAAATATACAATCATTATGTATCATATTATTAACGCCAATACAGGAGCACGTACTGTGAGGATTGTATCCTCGTGGACTACTATGAAAATAAGAAGCTGTGGTATGATTGCCAATGAGACAACTTTCCACCAAAGATTAAATGACGTAGAAGGTAAGCAACTATAGGCCATCTACGACAATGAGCAAAACCCATACCATTATCAGGTACTTTCGAGACCAAGATTTTGAAAGCCAAAGCTATAAAAGGTTTGAAAGCATAAACCTAATGAACCTAAACAGAACATCCAATTAAATTGATTTAAAATTTACATTAAAAAAGGGGGTATTATAAGTGCCTTTATTTTGACATTGATTTCTAAAATTAACACAGAAGTTCTTTTTACCGGTATACAGATACCACATATTTTGAATACTTCCAAAACTTTTACAGTCGGTATCTTCATCTTATCTGTTTATATAATGTCTCTTGTCAAAAATCATCAAAGATACTAGGCTAACAATCTAGAACGCCAGACGCTAGCTTCCTCTACATAAGACTCATCAATTGCGCTCGAATCAAAATAGTTGGAATGCCGAATCAAATACGACCTGAAGGAACATTAAAAACTGAAAGTTGTGCAAAATACGGCTACAGCAGTGTATGCCTGGGGATAAAGATTAATGTTGACGGTATTTCTCACCCTACCTTTTATTGCGCTGTGTTAGTGACATCACTGTGCAAGGTTAGAGGCAGAGTTGGGCGCGCTCGTTATCATGTTTGACGCCGCCACAATTTGTATGTGCCTGTCTTCAGTCAGGAGCCTGTAATTCAGTGGTTGTTATTGGTTGTTGTCTTTCATGTTTCTTTTTCGTTCATTGTTTTGTACTTATATCATGCCGTTGGTTTTCTTGTTTGAATTTATTTACACTTTGTCATGTCGGGGCCCCTAACCACTAACCTTGCACAGTGATGTCACGAAACACAACTTTAGAACAAACTATAAAAATCAGTTGAAAAAAGCTTGACATATCAGATCAACACAAAAAAAAAACTAACAAAAATACTCAAAAAAACTGACCCAATAATAACCGCGCTAAAATAATCTTTTTTCAGTGTTTCAGTTCGACCAACAACAGCGCAATAAAAGGTAGGGTGAGAAATATCGTCAACATTAATCTTTATCCCCAGGCATACACTGCTGTAGCCGTATTTTGCACAACTTAAGTTTTTAATGTTCTTTCAGGTCGTATTTGATTTGGCATTCCAAATATTCTTGTTTAGTTTAAACATATTTTATTTGCTAAATATCAGCAAAATGGATGAGACACAAGTAAATCATACTTATGAAGTCTTCTTCATATTACAATACAAGTATATATACAATAATAACATTATGAGCATGCATGTAAAGCTAACAAATTCATTAAATATTATACGAACTATAAATAAAAAGAAAAAAAGAACAAGAAGAATGGAAAAGGAGGAAAAGAAAAAGAAGCAAATTATATTTTCTGTGATGTTGACTTAGGTTTGATGGTGATGATCATCCGTGCCGGTAGCAATAATATTTTATGAAGGTACTAGAAATCTGTTAGACCTTTTAATAAAATCTTGAACATGTTTGAAAATTAGGAGATTTTGTTCATTCGAAAGTTCAAGATCTCCGCAAGTTAATAGTTTAGTATCAATAATAAAGTTTTCAGTAAGCCAATTAAGATTGTTAAGTAAAATTTCTCTACATGTAGTGTATTTTGGGCAAACTAAAAGAAAATGATGAACATCCTCAATATCAGACCCACACTGACACGAAGGATCCAGTATAATGTTAGCTTTGAAAAGGTCAGAGTTCAAAAATGAAGCGGAACATCGCAATTGAGTTAAAATAATATTCAGTTTCCTCGGACCGTACATATAATACGGCGCAACTCTACTCTGAACACTTTCATTTTTCAATTCTCTCTTAAATTTAGATATAGAGTCGGTGTTTCGAATTTTTAAGTCAAGCTTATTCCATTCTCGTATTGTGGATGGAATAAAAGATTCAGTGGTAAGGGAAAGTCTACAAAATGGAACAATGATATTTTGACCGTTTCGCAACGGATAGTTGGTTGTACTTTGTATACATGGGGGGACAAGATTACACAGGTACTGAGGTGCATGTTTTTTATTTATATTATAAAACATCTGTAATTTTCTTCTTCTTCGTCTTTCATATAAAGATTCCCAGCCAACCTCAGAGTACAGAGTATCAGTTTTAGTGAAGATTGGTAGACCTGTTACAATTCTTGCGGCTTCCAATTGCAAATTTTCTAATTTATTTGAATAACATATCCCACAATTATCCCACACTTCCGTGGCATATTCAAAAATGGGTCTAATAAAAACTAGATAAAGTTTTTCTAAATTATTACGAGACAGTCGATATTTAAGTTTACGCAGAACATTAAGGTGTTTCTTTACACTTGTAATTATACTTTCAATATGATTGTTCCATTTTGCGTCACAACTAAAGGTAACTCCCAGGTGCTTATGCGATGTATTTATAGGGATAGTTTTATCATTTAGGGAAAAGTTGAGATCTGGTATCTCAATATTTAAAAATATCATAATTTCTGTTTTATCAGGATTAAATGACATAAGCCATTTAGTTGACCAAACATCCAGCTCTTTCAGGTCGCGGTCGATCACAGATTTAATCTGTTCACCATCGCTACCGGAATAACTGAATGAAGTGTCGTCTGCAAATAGCCTACACAGCGATGTAAGCTTATCAGCAATATCATTAATATATAAAACAAAGAGAAGAGGGCCCAAAACAGATCCCTGGGGTACACCTGCTGACACATTACAAAAGGAGGAGGACGAATTATTCAGTAC